AAATATCTTGATTGTTCTAGCAGTTTGTAGGTCCTAAAATATCCATATTTGTCTACCACTGTGTGATTTTGATAAATATTCTGATTGTTCTTGGCAGTTTGTAGGTCCTAAAATATCCATAATTTGTCTACCACTGTGTGATTTGATAAATATCTGATTGTTCTGGCAGTTTGTAGGGCCTAAAATATCCATATTTGTCTACCACTGTGCGATTTGATAAATATCTGATTGTTCTGGCAGTTTGTAGGTTCTAAAATATTTATATTTATTTAGCACTGTGCGATTTAATAAATATATGATTGTTTTGGCAGTTTGTAGGTCCTAAAATATCCATATTTGTCTACCACTGTGCGAGTTGATAAATATCTGATTGTTCTGGCAGTTTGTAGGTGGTAAAATATCCATATTTGTCTACCACTGTGCGATTTGATAAATATCTGATTGTTCTGGCAGTATGTAGGTCCTAAAATATTCATATTTATCTAGCACTGTGCGATTTGATAAATATATGATTGTTCTGGCAGTTGGCAGGTCCTAAAATATCCATATTTGTTAACGATTTTAAGTGGTTCTTTTTTATTAGAAAAAGATTTGTTAAAGCTCATGTTGTAGTTATCTAGGACTAACTATATCACAGGTAACTATGACATGAATAAAGAGTGAAATATCAGCCTGAAAGATAACTAGAACTATATTTGTAACAATAACCCACTCATATTTTAAAATATGTATACATACATGTATAGAGATTTACATCGTCCATTTAGAATCAAAGAAAAATTCCTACTTGGCTAAGATACAATTGTTCTGTATGTAATACAACCGAGTAAATGATACGACTAATTGCATTAACGTGTGTTTGGTTTAACATTAGGGAAGTTTTTCCCTAATGAAATTACTGTTGTGTGCAAAATAAATATAAATTGAAGGAAGAAGAGTTTTGTGCTTTAACCCTAAACTTTCTGCTATATAAGAAAGAATCAAAGAACGCAATTTGGATTGTTATCCACTGAAATTACCATGACAGTAAGTTTCACAAGAATAATTCCATAGCAACGACTAATTAATTTTATCCTATAGTTTTAATGCAATCTGTATTTCAGATCAGCACGTCATGCCACTTGCATTTGCTGTATCCTGCTAAAATATGAAGAAAGAACGAACTTATCTTTGTAACATGACACAGTAATTCAAGAATTATAATATCTGTTTCCATCTTAAGACATTATGGCACGTGTTGAGTATTTAATATTACAAGTACACAGATTTGTATGAATTAGTAATATTTAATACTTACACCTTTATTGTTTTTTTTCACAAAATCAAGTTCACTATAGATTTTCAAATAAATGACTAAAATAGCAATATCGTGGATGGTAATTGAGCCCACAGAAATAAATCGAGTGCTAATAATCATAATTTAAAAGATTATTTGAAATTATTCATTTTTTTCAAGTACTGAAACAGTTATTGGTTATTTACGAAATCAAACTAGCATCTCATTAAATGTAAAGAAGAACATAATAACGTACTAGTGTATGGTTGTAATTTGCGATTTATTTTGAGCATCAAGATATGATAAGAACTTGAAAAGTTGAAGAGTACGAGAATACTCGATTTAATTCAGATTGTGAGCTTAGATTCAGCAAGTAAAAATAAATGGTGACTTTACTGTGTTAAATGTTAGGTGTAGTCTGTGATGTCATGAAACTGCACCTATTGGAATTAACTTCTGTTACTGTAGGACTTTTACAACGAATTGATCAGCAAATCATGCAGCAGAAATTTGAACAAAATATTAATATTTATTCCACTTCAAAAGAGCCAAAACAATAGAACATCACACCAACAGAGCAAAATAAAAAAAAAAAGGTCTACCTAATTAAAGACTCCATCTTTTCATGGCAAATGTATAAACTAATGTATTTTCGTTATACTTGTACGTGTATCATTATTTCTGACAATGTTGCTAAACAGTTGTTTGTATCGTGAAGTATTATATATTAAACAAAAAGAGATTCAACTGGTGTGCTTGGATTTATTGGAAATCAAAATTACACAGTGACTTCTGTTTTTAGCTAAACTGAGTAGCAAAAGAAACGGAATTTAGTATGTTATAAATTTAGTGGGTAAGTGGAAGATGGCATAAATAATGTCAAACTCTGTTGCAATAGTTCTGTTGATGCATTGTGGCTGTATTCGAATGATTAATACTAATGAATATTAAAGCATCTAGTGTATTATGTACGAACTATAATTGGTTATGGTTACACGCTAGAGGTGTTTTTAGCAGCCACCAAAGCACAGGCTATCCTCCCTCAATTATTATAGAATCCTGTCATTGTATGTTCATCAGTGCGCAGCCTAGGTAGCTTGCCATCGTCTCTTTTTTTTTTCGAATCATCGACCACAGGGAAGTAACCAGTCGGCAGTAACCTACTTCTATTTTTTCTGTTATTTAGTTATTTATTGGCAAAAAGAATAGGAAAATCAAATTCTTCAGAAATGTCTTTTTTTTTTAAACCTGTTTAACAAATTAGGCTTCAAAAACATGATGAAACTTAATTTTATGGCACTTGGTTTCTACTTCCGATTTCGATCGGGTAGTGTTTATAAGCTTAAACTAATCTAGGGTTTAGTATTTTCTGTTGTGAAATGTGTTAAGGACACAAAACCTTATTTTAATTAGACATTTATTTTATAACATAATTCAACTTAGACGAACGTACAAAAAAGTAGTCTGGTACCAAAAGATATTGTTTGTTTGGAATTAAGCACAAAACTACACGATGGACTATCTGTGCTCTGTCCATCACGAGTATCGAAACCCGGTTTCTAGCGTTATAAGTCCGCAGACATACTGCAGTGCCACTGGGGGGCCAAACGAATATTCTCGATTATATTTATTTGCAAATTAATTTAAAATATCTTAAGATTATTTCTGTTTTGTGAAACTGGAATTGCATTTTGTAAATTGAAGGTTGATTATATTCACCTGTGGTATTCAGTGTGTGTGGTAAACTCTGTAATTTAGATTTAGTAATTAAATATATGCCGATATATATTCAATTTATGATATTTGCCAACAAGATTGATACACACAGTTTTCTTTGTTTTATATAAATATGTTTTAACATACAAACAATAATACAATTTAAAACAACAGTTATTACAAACAGCTAATACAAATAATGACTTATATGCAAAAGTTCCACAAACTTACAAGCAATACAAAGTCTTAATTCTAGTCTGCAACTTCCATGATGTCTTATCGAGGGTTCACGATGAGCG